TCTTACTGCATCTTCTATGAAATCATCTTCTTTGATGTTTTCACCAAGTTTAATCTCTTCTTCCAGCTGGAGTAGCCACATATTAGCTTGCCTGTGGTACTCTTCTAACTCATGAGAGGAAGCCTATATAGGTCATTGACAACAATAAAAAATAATCATGTAAGGTTTGCGTATTGTTGTCTGTTCCCAATGTCTGTTCAAATCAAATGAAAACAACATATGTAGCAAATGTCTTATGTCTCAACAATTTTACATTTACCTGTCCATGCAGAATCCTTCTGGCAATCATCTCAAAGCGTTGATTGAGCTGATTCAGTTTGGGCTCTATTTGAGTTTTACAGTGCTCCCCTCTGTTTTTAATGATGTCTTCACCAAGATTGTGCACCTCCACTACCTTCCCACGCATTTCCTCCAGTTCTCCTTGTAGACGCTGATAAGTTACAAACCTGTTATATTTACATGTTACCACATACACCCATTCAGCTTAAACAAATCCAATTATTCTGCAACAATAATAACAAAACAAATGTTTGTTAACATATGTTAATATTATATATACACACATACTGATCAGCCATAGCATTACAGGTGAAGTGAATTAACACTGACAGGTGAAGTGAATAACTTTGATCTTATTACAATGGCCCCTTTGGGGGGTCTTCGAGTAATGTTCTGGGTAATGATCTGCTGGGATACTTTGGGTCCTGGCATTCATGTGGATGACACATCTAACATGAACCACCTACCTAAACATTGTTGCAGACCAAGTACCCCTTCATGGCAACAGTATTCCCTAATGGCAGTGGTCTCTTTGAGCAGGGTAATGCACACAGGCAAATTGCAAAAATTGTTCAGGATTATTTTGAGGAACATGACAAAGAGTTCAAGATGTTGACTTGGGGTCCAAATTCCCAAGATCTCAATCTGATCGAGCATCTAAAGAATGTGCTGGGCAAAGAAACCCGGGACTTACAGGACTTAAAGGATCTGCTGCTAATGTTATGGTGCCAGATACCACAGCACACCTTCACAGGTCTTGTGATGTCCATCCCTCGATGGATCAGAGCTTTTTGGGGAACGCAAGGGGAACCTAAACAGTATAAGGCAGGTGGATTTAATGTTATGGCTGATTATATATATATATATAATGTTATGGCTGATATATATATATTATATATATATATATATATATATATATATCCCCATCCATCCATCCATCTTCTACCGCTTACTCCTTCAGGGTCGCGAGGTAACCTGGAGCCAATCCCAGGGAGCTTGTCTTTCATGTCACGGTGTTTTGTTTCATGCTACGGTGTTATGCCAGGTTGTCTTCGTGTCCTTGTTTTGTTACAGGTTTGTTTAAATAATTCGTATTATCTGCTCTTGCTTCTGCCTCAACCTCGGATCCGTGACAGAACAAAAGACCAATTATCGGAAGCAGCAAATCGCGAGGATGGACGCCTGGTTTGAAGCATATGCGGAGTGGTATAACGGACTAGTGGAGCAGGGAAGAAAGACAGATGAGCTACTCGCTCAGAATGACCGCATGCTCGGGATACCGCGGTGGGACAGACCATGCACCATGCCACACCTGGCGTTCATAATGGACTACGCCATGCCATGCCGACAGGAGGGGAGTCTGTGGTCGTGGCTGAGACCAACTACCACCCTCCCTCCCCCAGTATGGCCGTCATGTTCAGTGGAGGATGTCGCTCTGCCTCCACGTTCCGTGAGAGATGTCGCTCCATCTCCTAGCGGACTCAAGGATTCCCCACTGTTCAGCTACCTCAAAGTCGCTCAGCCTTCCTGTTCGGCTGAGGTCATCGCTCAGCCGTACTGTTCAGCTGTGGATGTCGCTCAGCATCCTTGTTCAGCTGAGGTCGTTGTTCAACCTTCCTGTTCAGCTGTGGATGTCGCTCAGCTTCCTAGTTCAGCTGAGGTCATCGCTCTGCCTACCTGCTCGACTGTGGACGTCGCTCTGCCTTCCTACTCAGCTGTGGATGTTGCTCTGCCTTCCTGCTCGGCTGAGGTCGTAGCTCTGCCTTCCTGCTTGGCTGAGGTCATCTCTCTGCCATCCTGCTTCACTGAGGACGTCACTCTGCCTCCATGTTCCACTAAAGACGTCGCTCCTTTTCTTTGCTGCGCTCAGTATGTCGCTCCCCCTTCCTGCTCCACAGAGGACGTCGTTCCCCCCTCATGCTTCGCGGAGAGCATCGTTCTTCCCTTGGGCCTCACCTAGAACCTCGCTCCTCTCCCTGGCCTCGCGGAGAACTTCGCTCCCCCCTTGAGCCTCGTGGAGAACTTCGCTCCCCTCTTGAGCCTCGTGGAGAACTTCGCTCCCTTCTTGAGTCTCGTGGAGAACCTCGCTCCCCTCTCCTGTCCCGTGGAGGAAGTCGTCCCGCTTTCATGCTCTGCCAAGGATGTCACCCTGTTTTCATTCTCTGTCAAGGACGTCAACCCGCTTTCATGCTCTGCCAAGGACGTCGCCCCACTTTCATGTTCTGCCGAGGACGTCCCTCTGCCTCCATGTGCTGTTGTCGAAGCCGCTTGGCCTCCTGGTTGTGCTGAGGACTTTTTGCCCAGGGGGCCAGGACCACCAGATGCAGGACGTATAATTGTGGGCGCTCCGGGAATAGTGCCCGTGGGGGAGGATTCTGTCACGTATCAAGAAACACTGGACTCCAGTTCCCATCAGCCAATGCACCGCACTACATGTCACATGACCACCTGCACCTGATTCACGTTTTTGTTAATGAGCATTCGGGTATATATGGTCATTGTCTGCACTGTTTCCTTGTCTTTCGTTGTCTTAGACTTCTGTCTTTCATGTCACGGTGTTTTGTTTCATGCTACGGTTTTATGTCAAGTTGTCTTCGTGTCCTTGTTTTGTTACACGTTTGTTTAAATAAATCATATTATCTGCACTTGCTTCTGCCTCAACCTCGGATCCGTGACAAGTATAATATTTTGTTATTACATTTGTTTAATTGTGTTATCTTTAACTACTTTTAGGACTTACGGTTATTTAGGACTTAGGGTCTTATTTTAGGACTCGATTTTTTTTAATGTTAACATGTTATTGTAACCATTTCAATTTAATCAGTACTGAAAGGATGTTAATTTGCATAATAAATTTTGCTCAATATATGGGTAGAGGGGTGCACAGTTATCACGAGAGGCCAAACTTCTGACCAAAAACAAACAAAACACCACAAAACAACAAAAAAAACCTCTTGTGCGGTGACCCTGTCATTTTGTGCCCTGAATTTGTGTGAATGTCACTACAGATTTGTTTTGCCACAAAGTGTAGTACTGTACATTCACAAACAAGTTCCAAACCTTGATGACATGGTTAATGCTGCCCTGGTTCTCCATCTTGTCTATCTGTGACTCAGCTCCATCTATCCAGGCATTTATCTGAGCAACATTCTGCTCCAATGTATTCATCTGACTCTGGTAATCCTGCCAAACAGAAAATGCTATATTACATTTTTGAAGAGAAATAGTTCAATTGTCTTTGACAATTAAATAACTTAAATGTGTTTATGAAATTGTTTCACTCACATGTCTCTAATTTTATTCTTTGTTTCTTTACTTTAACTCCTTATTCATAACATACTACACCAGGGACATATGCTGTGTTTATATTATAGGTACATAAATAGAGGAAATAAATAAAGAGAAGACAATCGGAAGGACCATTATGTGAGAATAGTCCGCTTGTTCTCACCAGCAACAAATTTAGCCACTGTTCACTGCGTGATGTCACAGCTATCCAGTTGCTGTTCAACAGGCTGACTTTGTCATCTATTAGGCTTTCCTCTGTTAGCAGTGCTTTCAGGGCCTCTGCTAAATCTCTTACTACACAGAGCTGGGTTGTGCGTTGCTCTGTATCCTTATGTGTGGCCTGGAGAAAAAGTGTTACAACAATTATGCACTTCACTGCTGCTTAGCAGGCTGCTTGGTTGTTTGTATGTCTGGTTGGTAAACAAAATAGATATAAAGACTGGAATAATCATGTTTTATATTCAGTGATCTAGTGTGGACACAAATTATATGATTTAACAAACAAAAGCAGCAAAAAAAACTATGCATAGTCATAAAAAATACACAAACTAGCCTAGTGTGGAAAAACTATCAAATGCCTCATTCTGAAATAAAGACAAATACACACACACACACACACATTATATATATGGAAAAATGGAAGTTACGGTCCCCTCCAAAACTATTGGAATGGCAAGACCGATTCAATTATTTGTGCTATACACCAAAGACTTTTGGGTTTGATATACAATATCAAGTTCAATATACAATATCAGTCATTTTGATAGTGCGGCATTTATGTACCTTGGCCCATGTCAGCTCTGCTTCTAGGTCACTAGGCATTCCTTCCACTGATGACCGACAGGTCAGTTCACTATCAACCGCTGCTAGCCATTCTGTTAGATTTTTTGTGTCTTTTTTAAATTTTCTCAATAACTTCAAACTCTTTTCTAGTGCTTGCTTTCCTTCTGTCACCTGTACAAAAAAAAAATTTATAAACAGGTTAACTGAAAAACAATTGCAATTACAAGCCATCAACAAACTGCTGCTACATTTGAAATTAGCTGAAATATTAAACCAACATTATTATAGCAACAGTATTTAACATTATGTCAAGGCAGACAACACTAATGCAATTCTATTAAACCAATGAAAAGACCAAATGACAAAGAATTTCATTTGCGAATGTCAATCCTACTCTTCTTTGAAAGTCCTAGAAATTTGACAGTGTAACTCTTAGATCCTTACTGTGAGCTGTGTGTAATTTTACTCACTGTTGAAATAATTCTTACAAAACAGTCCAGGTTACCATTAGACCTAACACAGATCAATATTTTACATTTTATGTATTTGGCAGACACCCTTATTCAGAGCAACTGATAATGATCATTTTTTTTATACAACTGAGCAGCTGAGGTTTAAGGGCCTTGCTCAAGGACCCAGCAATGGCATCTTGGCGGTACTAAGATTTGAACTTCCGACCTTCCGATCAGAAGTCAAATGTCCTAACCACTGAGCTACCACTTTCCTAATATAACTTCACTTTACATTTTTATCATACATTTTCTTTCCCAGCCAAACCTTTTGTTTGCATAAATAATAAAAAAAAAAAACAAACACCAAGTAATGAGGCATCCTAAAATGTTTTTCCTGATTTGTTTGGTAAAGATTTAGGACCAGTCAAAATGTTTGAGTCAGTTTTCTGAAATGCCACATTACATTACCTGTTAAGCGTAGTCTTATCATACCTGTGCACCCAAGTCGTTGTATACCAGTTTAAGACTTGTCAAACGGTCATCCAGCTCTTTGGGTTGCTCTGTCTGCTGTCTCTGCACAATTTGTCTTCCTGTCTTAATTACCATCTCCACTTCTGATTTCACTTCACTTAGACTTTTATACAACTTCTGCAGAATAAAAATGTACAAGTTGTATTAAAATATTGATTTAGCATACTTAATTGGGAATTGTGGTACTAAATGAGGAGAATGCAACACAGTTTTGGAGTTAATCGATTAGGTTGAGCTTCTCACTATGGTGGACAATAGGGATTTTTATGGAAAACAAACAAACAAATAAAAATTATGGGACAGAAATGTTAAAACAAGAACTATTTATTTATCAATTTATGTATTCATTCCTCTGGTATGCTAATGAGCTATAGACTATTCACCCACTCACTACTCACATTGGTTAATCATATATACTCGGGTCAATAAAACCAGCTCAAAACCAGAACTCTAAAAATATGTGGCATTTGTGGAAGCTGGTGGTGATATTAAACTGAAGGGCTAAAATTTAATATCTATCAATTACTCAACAATTGATAATAACAAACAGGTTTCATCCTTTCATTAAAATACCCCTATAATACTTACAGTTCTGTCATCTGTCATTTCATGTAATGTGTATTTTGATTAGACATTCTGTGCTTAGTCTATACACTTTTAGCTTCTCCTCCAAATACATTTTCAAGGAAAAAAAGGACGATCAAGTAAATAATCTACTTACATTACTCCCAGAACTAAGTCTGTAATGGAACTACTGTTGACATATACTTGATGTATCACTAAAATGGGCTACATTATATTAGCCCAAATTAAGTGCATATCTAGGGTTGTGTGACTGTGTAAGCCCTGTGTAAGTGCTGGGCTCGAAACAGTCCACAGGGTCACTACAGACCATTTCCTATGTTTTAAGTACAACTGCTGGTGGTGCTATTGCACTGTTTCACAAAATAACAAAGTAAAACCTCTTTACATTTGTGTCCTCAAATAATATAATATGGGTGCTAAAAACAAGTTATAAAGATTTTTTTTGTAATTCTTAAAAGACAATGAGGGCTTAGGCTTGCTAACCCATTGATACAAGCTGCGCCTAACCCTCATCAAACTTTATACACTGCTTTTAAAGTGAATGATTACTACTGCATTTTGTATTGTCTTATTAAAAGTAGCAGCCAATCATTTTTAAAGCAGCAGCATTAAAAATAAATTTTTCCACATACTTTTCTACTTTGGTATTTTTACACATATTGTCATATATGAAGATTATATTGAGAAGAGAAAGATGATAGACAATTTCACTGCCACAGAATAAAACATTCATACAATAATGTACATAATGAATGTTGATAAAGGGAACAAGAGACGAACTCGCCTTGACACTAACACATGCTGAAATTATTTAATCTTGGCTAGAGTCTGATGGAGTGGTTGTGAGACAAGGTCCAGATTGGGGGGTATGGGGAAAGACAAAAACATCCCTTATAATTGAATTTGGATTAATGTGAATTATAATAATAATAATAACAACAACAACAATAATATAAATTATTATTATTATTATTATTATTATTATTATTATTATAACAACAATAAAATCACCACCACCACCACCACAACAACAACAACAACAACAATAATAATAATAATTTTTGCAACTATTTGATATGTATTTTTTTTTTACATATTCCTTTTCCACAAAGTTATAAATACATATTATTAGGTTGAATATGTAATCCTGTTCAATGAACTTTGGGTAACTGTCTGGGCTGTGTTAACACCTGCATACACATGAAGATGTGTGTATGCAGACACATGTCAAGACCTGTAACACAATTTCAGACTGTGACCATATGACGCTATCAAAATTCATCATTAATGGCCGCAGTGCCCTTTGGAACCTTCTCACCATTTTCAGCCTTGGCTCCAAGTAATGGGGAACCCTGGAGTTTATACAGAGTTCATAGAACAGGGTTACATACGTAACCCAACATTCGATTTTACCCATCCTAACCACCGGGGGTATGTTTTAACACCTGGATAACCTATAGTAGTAGGTCACAAGGAACTAACTCACTCCAAGAGTGACTGTGACTGGAAGAATGTTCAGATATGATTGCTGGTTGGAAACCACCGAGTCCAACTAACCTTAGGCCAGGTCCTCGAAAGCCTAAAAAAGGTTAAGCTGAAGCCAAGTTGATGTATAAAGGTGGTGTTCACATAAAACACAGGTGGTGTACTGCCCATTTCAAATCCCCCCAACATTCCAAAGGGATTCAAATCCAGGCTTTGACCAGGCTATTGAGCCATTCCTTGGTGGATTTGCTATGTTGAAGATAATTATCCTGTTGAAAGGTCCACTTTTGGTTCAACTTCAGATTTCGGACAGACGGCCTCACATTATCTTCAAGCACTCTTTGATATGATGCAGAATTCATAGTTGAATCAATGAATGTAAGCTCTCCAGTCCCTGAGGCAGAGAAGCAACCCCAAACCATAAAATTTCCACCACCGTGCTTCACAGTTGGTATGAGGTGTTTCTCCTGAAAAGCTGTCTTTGGTCAGAGCCACACATGACTGCTGTTACTGTGGCTAAACAACTCTATCTTTGATTCATTTGTCCAGAGCACATTATTCCAAAATGCTTGTTCTTTGTCTATATGCGCACTGGCAAACTGTGGTCTTGCTTTAATGTTCTTTTTAGACAACAAAGGCTTTTTCCTGGCACACATCCCATGCAGGTCAACTTTGTTCAATCTCTTTCTGATTGTAGAAGCTTGCACTTTTACACGAACAGTGGCAAGACTTACTAGCAGATCCTGTGATGAAATTTTGGGGTTCTTTGGGGTTCTTCTTTTTTCATCAGATGGTCTGCTCTTGGGCTGAATTTGCTGAGACGGTCAGTCCTGGACAAATTGGCAGTCATTTGAAATCTACGAGAAAAAAGCCTCTACTCTCATCCAAAACGAACTCAAGCGCCTTCAGTGTGCCAGACACTACTGGAACTTCAAATGGGATCGGGTTCTATGGTCAGATGAAACCAACATAGTGCTTTTTGGTAATAAACACATTCAAGGTGTGTTTGGAGCACACAGAGAGGTAGCCATATAGAAAAGTACCTCATGCCCACGGTTAAATATGGTGGTGGATCTTGAATGTTTTGTTAGGATACATGGCATCATGTCAAATATCAACAAATATTAAATGAAAACCTGACTGCCTCTGCCAGAAAATGGGCCATGGTTGGATCTTCCAGCAGGACAATGATCCAAAACATACATCAAAATCAACACAGAAATGGTTTACTGACCACAAAATTATATATATATATATATATATATATATATATATATATATATATATATATATATATATATATATATATATATGAGGGGTGTACTGTAGTTTTGTGAGATACTGTATATATATCTCGATGGTAAGGGGTGCAAAATTATATGAGGGAAAGTTCTGATACGAGAGAGAGACAGAGAGAGAGAGAGAGAGAGAGAGAGAGAGAGAGAGAGAGAGAGAGAAAGTGAGTCCCCAGGTAAAGTCCTGAGAGAATAATCATGACCTTAATCAGACATGCCATATCTGCCAAGCCCTATCCTAACAGTGGGTGATGTTAATCTTAAGAAATATTGAGAACTACAGTGGATATAAAATTCTACACACCCCTGTTGAAATGGCAAGTTTTTGTGAAGTAAAAAATAAAACTAAGATAAATAATGCCAGAACTTTATCCACCCTCAGTATGAAATAACAACATATAAAGATTAAGTTAAAAGCAATCAGAAACATTTACAGGGGGGGAAAAAACAACTTACAACAACCTAGTTGCATAAGTGTGCACACCCCTTAACTAATATTTTGTTAAAGCACCTTTGGATTTTATTAAACGACTTTGTGTTTTTAGTTAAGAGTCTATCAGCATGGCACATCTTGACTTGGAAATATTTTCTCATTCTTTCTTGCAAAACATTCTAGATCCATCAAACTGTAAGGTCTCCTGAACAGCCCACTTCAGATTTTTAGTAGGATTTGATTCTGGGTTCTTGCTAGGCCATTCAAAAACATTTATTGTAGTTAAGCCATTCCCTTGTTGATTTTGATGTATGCTTTGGGTCATTGTTGTGCTGAAAGGTGAAAATATGTTTCATCGTCAGCTTACTAGCAGACAGCTGAAGGTTTTGGACTAAAATCGAATGGTATTTGTAGCTATTCATGATTCTTTTTGGTAAAAGCTGAAGTTTCAACTGGATAAAAGCAGCCCAAAAGCATGATGCTGCCACCACTATGGTGTTCTTTTGGTGATGTGCTTTTTTTGCAAACAAACCTTTTGGAATTATGGAATTATTATACATTTTTAAATTGTTCTCATCAGACCATAACACAGTTTGCCACATGGTTTGATTTCGTTGAGCTTGGATGTTTTTTTTTGTGAGACACGGCTTCCATCGGGTCACCCGACCACAGAGCCCAGACATGTGAAGAATAGGATAAATTGTTGTCACATGCACAGAGTATTCAGTATTTGTCAGATATTCCTGCAGCTCATTTAATGTTGCTGTAGGTCTCGTGGCAGCCTCCCTAGTAAGATGTTGTCTTCTCCTTTTAAAATTTTGGTGGGACATCCTATCCTTAGTGATGTCACTGTGGTGCGCCATTTTCTCTATTTGTTGATGAAGGCCTTCATTGTGTTCCATGGTACATTTAGTGTTTTGGAAATTCTTTTATACCCCTC